CAAAATGTCATAGAATTACAGATTTATAGTCCAGTAAAGTTTTTATTAAAGCCATAACACAATTAGCTCTCACTATATTTCATGAAGGATGATATCCCACTCCAGACGATGAGTGGGACCACTGACGTTTTGCTTGACCCCAAAGGAGTTTAATAAATCTGTAAACGCAGTCCCTAACGCATCATTTGTGTTATCTACGTGAATGTTAAAATCTCCAACAATTATTGCTTTATCGACATTGACCAATAGATCTGAGAGAAAGTCTGCAAACTCTTTTAGGAAATCAGTGTAGGGCCCTGGAGGTCTATATACAGTAGCCAAGGCTAGAGATAATAGGGATTTCTTTCTTACATCTAAGAGCGTAACATTTAGCACAAGTACTTCAAACGAATTGGAATCTGTTCTGGGAGCGACCTAGGCTCTACCGTGCTGATGGCCTGCACCCCAGCAGAATCGGAGCGGCTGTTCTGTCAGACAACATCTCCAAGACGTTGCACACCATCTGACTAGTAAGTCAAAGTCCAATTCACAGTCTTTGCTGTCCCAACTTAATTGATATAAGTAGTGTAGAACATTATATAGAAACTGTGTCTATTCCTCGTCTAGTGAGGCCAAACAATAAATCTAGTGTAGGATCTAGGAAAAATCTTATTGTAATTAAACCAGAAAATCTAAATATCAGTGAACAAAAACATTTTCTAAAACTAGGTCTTCTAAACATTAGATCGCTCACACCTAAGGCGGTTATTGTAAATGAAATGGTCACAGATAATAGCTTCGATGTACTTTGTCTTACTGAAACCTGGCTTAAACCAAATGAGTATTTCGGTCTAAATGAGTCTACTCCGTCAGGATATTGTTATAAGCATGAGCCCCGTCTGATCGGTCGTGGCGGCGGTGTTGCAACAATCTATAGAGATATTCTTAATGTTACTCAGAAAACAGGTCACAGGTTTAATTCGTTTGAAGTACTTGTGCTAAATGTTACGCTCTTAGATGTAAGAAAGAAATCCCTATTATCTCTAGCCTTGGCTACTGTATATAGACCTCCAGGGCCCTACACTGATTTCCTAAAAGAGTTTGCAGACTTTCTCTCAGATCTATTGGTCAATGTTGATAAAGCAATAATTGTTGGAGATTTTAACATTCACGTAGATAACACAAATGATGCGTTAGGGACTGCGTTTACAGATTTATTAAACTCCTTTGGGGTCAAGCAAAACGTCAGTGGTCCCACTCATCGTCTAAATCATACACTAGACTTAATTATATCATATGGAACCGATCCAACCGATATAGATATTATACCGCAAAGTGACGATCTCACTGATCATCACATGGTAACTTGTATAATACGTACTGCTGAAATTTGTCATGTTGCGCCGCGTTATCGACCAGGCCAACATGACATCATGACTTTGCGTAAACATACACGCCACTTTAAATTCAAGTGGCGTGTTATTTATACGCATTTTGAGCTATCCGCGTGTATGTCCACGCCGAAATCTTTTGCGTGTATGTCTACGCCATTAAACGTCCGAGTGATTCCGCGTGTATGTGTACGCCGTTAAATGTCCGAGCGAAACGAAGCAAAATCTATATCTACATCTGTGGAGCGATATTTCTTTTCCTAGGATGGTAGGAGAAGACTCATAAATGGTATTAACCCCAGTGACGGGTAGGTTTAGGGACGGGGTTGGGGTAGGTCATATATTTATATATACATAATACAGTAATATAACGTTAAGTCAAAGGCGTTGATAAACACGCTGAAAAGCGATTATGCGTGTTGATAGCACGCCAAAAATGGAAATACGAATTGGCGTGTCATACATACGCCATTTCATGAGATCAGTCTGACCAGGCAGAACAATCCTTCCAATCACTATAGATAGATTCTCAAATAGCTTACCTGATCTATCTCAGCTGCTCAGTGAACCCAATCAAACAGATGAACTAGAGGAAATGACCAGCAGTTTGAGCACCATTTTCTCTAGTACATTAGATATTGTTGCACCAATTAGATTGAAAAAGGTTAAAGAGAAAACTAAAGCACCATGGTACAATAGTACTACACATGCTATCAAGAGAGAAACTCGTAACTTAGAGCGTAAATGGAAACAAACTAATTTAGAGGTCTTTAGAATCGTGTGGAAAGACAGTGTGTCACGTTATAAAAAGGCTCTAAAAGCAGCCAGGGCTGAGCATCTCCGCAAACTAATAGAAAATAACCGAAATAATCCAAGGTTTTTATTTAACACCGTGGCTAGACTAACAAATAAACAGACATCACCAGAGCAAAATATTCCGTTACAGTATAGTTGTAATGATTTTATGAATTACTTCAATGAGAAAATAGAAAGCATCCGAAATACAATTGTAAATGTACAATCCTCTATGGTGTCTTATGATTCAGCCTCAATTATCGCCCCTCAAGAACAACTACACCGCTTTACAACTATAGGACAGGAAGAGCTAAATAAACTTATCATTGCATCTAAACCAACAACATGTTTATTAGATCCAATACCCACTAAACTACTGAAAGAAGTGTTACCTGTAGTGGAAGAGCCTCTTCTCAATATTATTAACTCGTCTTTATCTTTAGGTCATGTTCCAAAAATATTCAAGCTGGCAGTAATAAAACCTCTTATTAAGAAACCGCAATTAGATCAAAATAACTTAGCAAATTACAGACCCATTTCAAATCTTCCATTTATGTCTAAAATACTAGAAAAAATTGTGTCCGCTCAATTGTGTTCTTTCTTACAAGAAAATGAGATATACGAAAAATTTCAGTCAGGATTCAGACCGCATCATAGCACAGAAACTGCGCTAGTTAAAATTACAAATGATTTACTTTTAGCTTCTGACCAAGGCTGTATCTCAATACTAGTTCTACTCGATCTTAGCGCTGCGTTCGACACTATAGATCACAAAATACTCCTGGATCGACTACAAAACTACACTGGTGTTCAGGGACAGGCATTAAGCTGGTTCAGATCGTACTTATCGGACCGTTACCATTTTGTCTGTTTAAATGGGGAAAAATCGAAGATAACGTCAGTAGACTATGGAGTGCCGCAAGGATCGGTGTTAGGCCCTCTGCTATTCTCAATATATATGCTGCCACTTGGTAATATTATAAGAAAACATGGAATTAATTTCCACTGCTATGCTGATGACACTCAATTATATATTTCATCACGGCCAGATGAATACACTAACTTATCTAAATTGACAGAATGTCTTAAAGATATAAAATGCTGGATGACGTGTAATTTCCTGCTACTAAATCCAGATAAAACTGAGGTATTACTTATTGGTCCAAAAAACTACCCACAAAATCTCTTACAATACAACTTTAATTTAGAAGGATGTCCCGTTACCTTATCGACTACAGTAAAAGACCTTGGTGTTATACTAGACCGCAACTTGTCTTTCGAAAATCATATTTCGTATGTTACAAGAACAGCTTTTTTCCACCTTAGAAACATTGCTAAATTACGTAACATGCTATCTGTTTCTGATGCAGAAAAGTTAGTTCATGCATTCATGACCTCGAGACTAGATTACTGTAATGCTTTATTAGCTGGTTGTCCTGCATCTTCAATAAACAAGCTACAGTTAGTCCAAAATGCAGCCGCTAGAGTTCTTACTAGGTCAAGAAAATATGATCATATAACACCGATTCTATCATCTCTGCACTGGTTACCTATTAAGTTCCGTATCAATTACAAAGTACTACTACTGACCTATAAAGCCCTAAATGGTTTAGCTCCTGTGTATTTAATGGACCTTCTATCGCCCTACAATCCATCGCGTTCTTTAAGATCACTAAATTCGAGGCTTCTGGTCATTCCTAGGATATCTAAGTCCACTAAAGGAGGGAGGGCGTTCTCACATTTAGCTCCTAAACTCTGGAATAGCCTTCCTGATACTGTTCGTGGCTCAGACTCGCTCTCCCAGTTCAAAACTAGATTAAAGACGCATCTCTTCAGCCAAGCATTCACATAATGTTTACCTTTTATACCACTGTTGAATCAGATCGACTGCATTAATATTATGAACAGCAGCTACGCTAATTATTTCCCATCTGCTTTTCTGCTGTTATCTCGGGACGCTAGTCCCGAGGTAAATAGCGTTCGTCAGCTCCAGTTTGTATCCAGCCTCTCACGAAGACTTCAGATGCCCCAACACCTGCGATGAGACGACTCGACGCCTGTGAAGAGACGACTCGACGCCTGTGAAGAGACGACTCAACGCCGGCGATATGTTATGCCCTAAATTAATACATGATGATTAACTAACTATATTCTTCTATGTACATTTCTAGAATGCACTTTCTGTAAAGCTGCTTTGAAACAATATGTATTGTGAAAAGCGCTATACAAATAAATTTGAATTGAATTGAATGATACTCATCATTGTCTCATATGGCCGCTAGGTGGCAGTGCTTAGTAATACAACAAACCGTTTCTACAGTGACTGTGATGCTTTTATGCACATCATTTCCCAAAACATATCAATTCTATCTATTTGTGGATTTTACAATATAATAATGTTGTCTTGATTTACAACAGTATCTTACTGCAGAAACTCTTTGCATTATGCTGTTGTCAATTTCATATTCTGTAGCAAGAAATTACAATAATCAATATAGTAGCCTATTTGGCATTTGCTAATTTAGCAGATGCTGTTAATTCTAAGCAACTTCAGGATATACAGTATATATATATATATATATGTGTGTGTGTATATGTGTGTGTGTACATATATATATATATAAGCAACTTCAGGATATATATCAAACCAAACCAACCAGTTTGTTTATATATATATATATATATATATATATATATATATATATATATATATATATATATATATATATATATATATATATAGCCTGAAGTTGCTTATATATATATATAAACAAACTGGTTGGTTTGCTAATTTGGTGTTGGTGGAGAACCAGCATACACATTGTTAAGTTGCAATCAAAAATACTTCTTATGTATCCCAGTCCTCCAGTATTTCAGTATTTCCAGATGTTTTGCTTTTTCAGGCTCATTTATTTCCTTCAGCTTCTCGATCAGAAAGTCAATGTCCAGAAGTGTGAACAGAGAATCAGTGTTGAGTGCGATCATCTCCAGAGTATTCACACAGTAAAAAGCTTCAATCACCAGCTTTATTTTCTCTCTCTCTAATTCTTGTAGTTCCTCTTCCAGCTTCTGGACCACAAACACACCGTCATATGTCATATGTCCTTCATATGTCCTCTTCTCTTTCTTTGTCTTTGTTACATATATTTTTGCTTCTTTGACATGTCTGCTGTAGTGGCATTTATTTGTGCACACTGTACAGTGATCATCTTTCATCACACTGGACAATGAGAGATGGGTGACCCACCAATTATCTGGGTAAACACAGTTCTCCTCACAGACGCTGCAGCACATGGCCTTCCATGGCCATTTAGAGCGATCAATATCAACCTTCTCTTTGTATTTCACCTCAACTTCATTTTCAGATTTATTGTTTTTTTCCAAGTTCTTCTCCAGAGCTTCTTGAGTTTGTTTCAGCTCATTTTGCTTTAGTTCCATCATTTGAACACGTGACTTTAGATTAGAGATATTTGCCTCCAACTGCTTCCGATTCTGCAACACATCTCGAGTCATCTTCAGGGTTTTTGGTTGTATTGTGTCAAGAAACCTGAACAATCCTGCCATTCCTCTAAAACTGCAATTCCATGATTGATCCTGCCTCTGTTCATGATATTCTTCATATTCTTCATCATCATCATCTTCTTCATCAGCAGCTTCTGACTGACAGTTATTAAACAGGAAAAACACCGGCTGATTCTGTTCATTCACTGCACACTTGACTTTAGCCTCTTTAACAGCCGCCAGGACATTTCTAGGTCGAGCTCCATCTGAGTGTGTGAAGAGCAAGACCATGTTTTCAGCAATATCTCTTCCAAATAAGGACTGAACAGCATCAAATATGTATATTTGTCTGTCAGAGAGTCGATTCTGTGTCGCATTAATCACCAGACACACTGCATGTATTTCATGGATCCCTTCTGCTGATTTACTTAAGCTAAAAAAACTCTCAGCGATCTCTTTATCTCTCTCAACTGTGTCTCCATATCCTGGTGTGTCGATGATTGTTAGATCAGTTTTACTCTCTTGTGGATAAAACCCATAAACAGTGATGATGGAGGTCTGACTGTGAACTGATGTTCGGTCGCTCTGATCATCTGTGATCTCAAACCAAACCTTGTCTTCTCTCTGAACATCTAACATGTAGTTGACTATAGCATTGATCAGGGTTGTTCTTCCTGTTCCTGTTTCTCCCACCATCAGAATGGTTTTATGGGGTTTGTTTTTGTCTCTCTCTCCAAAGGTCATTTTTTTATACGGTTTAGATTGATTCAAATTGTCTGAACTTGTTTGCAGAAGATATCGAGCAGGATTTCCGACTCCAATTAAGATGCTTTTCTTGATGAGAATCTGTTATGCAAAGCATAAAATACAATAACAATAAATATGGTGGTGTGTACAATGTTATATTTCGAAATCATAATCAAATTGTAAAACATCCCTGTTTCCTTTCACATAACTCAACCCAGAAAAGGAAAGGACAATCCATTTATTTTTATTTGTCATTTTGCCCATTAAATGCTAAATGTCAGTGTGTTTTCTAATCTCACATTAATGTTTGAACCCCATTACATTTTTAACCACAACCCTGTTTTAATCGAAATCTCTGTTTTTGTGTTTTTGTCCATTTCTGATACAGTATATGATTACCTGCAGATAAAGAGGAATTTATATAATTATAATTAGCTTATTCAGTTTTACAAGAATTACATAATTTACATGACAAATTGAATTAGACAAAATAGTATAAATAAATACATGTGTTATGAAAGTATATATTTCATCTAAAAAATCATAAATTAAGTACATTGTAAAAAAAATTATATGATCAATAAATTTTAACAAATATTTCTCATCAAAATAAGTTTAGTAATTTTCATCTGTTTTTAATAAGTTTTTTATAGTCAACTCGTTTTTTTTTTTTAAAGTAAGTTTGAATGTTATTTAAGTTTAATGACTTAAGCAGCCAAGTTGATTGTACTTAAAAATTTAAGGCAGCATTTTTTTATTTTTTTTTACAGGGTACAATTATAAAGTTTTCATGACCTAAAACAGTTTACAATGTATTTGTGTTTGCTGGAAAGTTGTAGCTCAGCAATATTTCAGCCATTTTGAATTTTGGTGTAAAACACTGTATTTTACTATTAAAGATTTTATTGTCATGCTAACATATTGTGTACTTCCCACAATGATGTTACATATAAACCTTTATTGAGACACTATCAGCAACGCTTAAAGCATGGATTGCAAAAAAGTTCTGTGTGAGTGTAGAATCTGTATCCCGGTGCTCTTTGGATGTATAGTTCAACTCATAAAAACACATCAAGCCAAGGCCCTCGAGAATTTAAGTAAATATAAAAGCCTTTATTTGTTCGCTTAGATAATTAAAATCATTTGACAGATAACCACACATAACTGAGTTTAATTGTCTAAGCCATGACTAAATAAAGGCTTTTTATATATTTACTTAAATTCGAGTGACTTGGCTTGATATGTTTTTATCAGCAATGCTTTTCAAGTGGATATCAGACCAACATGATGATTAAGAATGAGATCTTAAGATTAAAGTAACAGCAGGTGATGTCATAAAAATAATTTTGTGGCTGCTATTTCATGACTGACCATCATACCTCTATGGTGACTTTGGCCTTGATGAGATCCTGGTTTATGACTGTGAGACGCGTCACATCACTCTCTACGGTGTAGTCGAGTTTTCCCACCGCTGCACATTTAATATTGTACTCAGTATCTGGTCTGAGATCAGTCAGAGTAACTGTGTCCTGGTTCTTTGACACAGTTTGAGATGTCCAGTCTTTCTCTTCCTTCATTTTGTACAGTAATTTGAGTTCCTCTGTAGCAGGACCCGGTGGAGACACTTTCAGAACCACTCGTCTATATCTGACATCTTCAATGATCGGACAGTCTGGTTTTGATGGAGGAGTGAAGCAAACAGCTTCATTAAATCCATTTTCATACAGAAGAATGCAGGAACCTGGATGTTTTTCATGCTCTTTTATGAAAACCATAAATTTGCTCTGACTGCTATATGATGTCATCAGCTCCTTAAATATGTTCAAATGTTCTCTCATTTTCTCCCGGATGCTTCCAGTGAGCCACGATTGAGACGCCACATCAGGTTTCTTCTGAGGATTTCTCATCATTTGAGGATTCATGTAATTTTCTTGCTCATTAAGCAACTCATCCGGCAGCTCAAGATAACTGAAAGTGTAACAAAACACATTCTCCACCTGAATATCAGACAAATATGAGTCCAAGCTTCTGTTCACTTCGGCTCCAAAGTCCATTAACTGTCGAAGAAACTCATTAACGGTGTTTAATTCTTCTTCTTTCACTGTGATCCACTCTTTCAGACTCTTTTCACTGAATGGAGACTCATCATGAGCTTGAAGAAGATCCATCAGAGCACAAGACTCTTTCTCATAAGCTTTAACTGACTGGATCACAGATTTAATTCGGTCACTGAAATCTAGTCGATACTTTTGGCAGTTTTGCTGCATATTTTGTATTTTCTTATGAAGTGCACTAAAAGTTGTTTCCTTGATGTTTTCCAAAAGTAAATTGCACTTGTTTTCAGTCCAACTGAGATTTTCGATAGCAGACTCTTTGACTTTGATGAGATTCTGGTTTATGACTGTGAGACGCGTCACATCACTCTCTACGGTGTAGTCGAGTTTTCCCACCGCTGCACATTTAATATTGTACTCAGTATCTGGTCTGAGATCAGTCAGAGTAACTGTGTCCTGGTTCTTTGACACAGTTTGAGATGTCCAGTCTTTCTCTTCCTTCGTTTTGTACAGTAATTTGAGTTCCTCTGTAGCAGGACCCGGTGGAGACACTTTCAGATCCACTTGTCTATATCTGACATCTTCAATGATCGGACAGTCTGGTTTTGATGGAGGACTGAAGCAAACAGATTCATTACATCCATTTTCATACAGGAGAATGCAGGAACCTGGATGTTTTTCATGCTCTTTTATGAAAACCATAAATTTGCTCTGACTGCTATATGACGTCATCAGCTCCTTCAATATGTTCAAATGCTCTCTCATTTTCTCCCTGATGCTTCCAGTGAGCCACGATTGAGACGCCACATCAGGTTTCTTCTGAGGATTTCTCATCATTTGAGGATTCATGTAATTTTCTTGCTCATTAAGCAACTCATCCGGCAGCTCAAGAGAACTGAAAGTGTAGCAAAACACATTCTCCACCTGAATATCAGACAAATACGAGTCCAAACTTCTGTTCACTTCGGCTCCAAAGTCCATTAACTGTCGAAGAAACTCATTAACGGTGTTTAATTCTTCTTCTTTCACTGTGATCCACTCTTTCAGACTCTTTTCACTGAATGGAGACTCATCATGAGCTTGAAGAAGATCCATCAGAGCACAAGACTCTTTCTCACAGGCTTTAACTGACTGGATCACAGATTTAATTCGGTCACTGAAATCTTGTCGATACGTTTGACAGTTTTGCTGCATATCTTGTATTTTCTTATGAAGTGCACTAAAAGTTGTTTCCTTGATGTTTTCCAAAAGTAAATTGCACTTGTTTTCAATCCAACTGAGATTGTTGATAGCAGACTCTTTGGCCTTGATGAGATTCTGGTTTATGACTGTGAGACGCGTCACATCACTCTCTACGGTGTAGTCGAGTTTTCCCACCGCTTCACATTTAATATTGTACTCAGTATCTGTTCTGAGATCAGTCAGAGTAACTGTGTCCTGGTTCTTTGACACAGTTTGAGATGTCCAGTCTTTCTCTTCCTTCATTTTGTACAGTAATTTGAGCTCCTCTGTAGCAGGACCCGGTGGAGACACTTTCAGATCCACTTGACTATATCTGACATCTTCAATGATCGGACAGTCTGGTTTTGATGGAGGAGTGAAGCAAACAGCTTCATTAGATTCATTTTCATAAAGCAGAATGCAGGAACCTGGATTATTTTCCATTTCTTTTGATGCAACAATGAATTTGGCTGATGTACAATCTTTTAAATCAATCAAGTGTTTAAATACCCTCAAGTTGTTCCTCATAGTGCTTTGGATGTCAGGCGCGAGCCAAGTCTTGTGTTCAGATTCAGAGCTATTCTCCTCATTTTTTCCTTTTGTTGAAGGACTCAGGAAGGCCTTTTGTTTAGAAAGCAGTACATCTGTCCAGCTCAATGATGTGAAAGTGTAGCTGACCAAATGTTTAACTTCCAGATTCATAAAATTTTTATTGAGGTTGTTTTCTACCATTGCTCCTGAGTCATTCAGTTGTGTGAGCAATGCTTTAATAATGTCAGATTCTTCCTCTTTCTCTTTCAGCCATTGTTCAAGAGCGCTTCTTTCAAATGGAGATTCCTCATGATCTCGTAGAAGATCGATCAATGCTGTGTCCTCTATGAATTTTCCACGGATCTTTGGTAAGAGAGAGCCGAGTTTCTTCATGAGACTCAATCTGCACTGGTAGCAGTTTTTCTTCATGTCATTGATTTTGTCGTGAAATGCAGTAAATGTCGAAGCTGGCGTGTCTGTCAGAAGATCACTGCATTTCATCTCAGTCGTACTCAAACTTTCAATTACAGATTCAACGTCTGAGCTTAATCCTGTGCTGATTTCATGTTGAAACTTTACAATTTTTGAGAAAAGTTTGTCCAAAGGATAAAGCCAAACTCTCAGAGGAACCGCAAGCTCCTTGTTTTCTCCCAGCAGTTTCGGAAGATCTTCAAAAACCTTCATAGCATCTTCAAAAGTGGTCGGGTTACGTGGTAGCTGGAAGTCGCCATAAAATGTACACTTAAATTTTTGGGCAGCGGTCTTCAGATTGTCATTCAGATTCATACTTGCATCAATGTTTCCAGCTGAAATGCCTATAAGCTTCTCCAAGACAGCTTCTACTTCTCCTGCTATCTCTCTCTTGTTTTCATCAGATGAAACTTTTCTATCAAAAACAAAGCATGCGTCTGCTCCGTACAGCACTGCGGTCACTACATGTGTGGCGACGTCATCGCCATAGTGAGCCATGTCTCCAGAAGCAAAGTGGTTCATGATCAGTTCTTCAAACTTACTGGTTGAATGATAATGTAATGTCAGTCTCTGTTGATTGAATGATTTCTTTGTGTCCTTGAGAAACTTGGCAGCTCCACTTACATTGAGGAGTCCTCCTAAAACACTCAGTTTCAGACTACCATCAATATTCAGCAATCTAGTTTTTTCTTCAATCGAGTCTGAAGCGGTGACTGTGAAATCTGTATTAATTTGGGGTTTAGTGCTTATGTTCTGCTGCAGCTGCTCTTTACTCCAAAGTCTGATTCCTGTAATGGAGGGGGAATTGTTATTTTACAACATTAAAGGTGCTCTATGTAACTTTTCTACTAAAATGAATCCCTTTTTTATTGCCTGTGTGTGAAGGGGTTGTAATCACACATTAAAATGATCCACTTGTCGAGTTTTGCTATTACCTCTGAAGGCCAGTATTCCTATTTCTATGTGAAGTCTCCGGGTCGGATTTACCGCGAAATCCAACGGATGTGACGTGCTTGCGCGCTCCCGAGCCTCTCTCCTTATATACAGTCTATTGTAGACGGTCAGGGAGTTACGTCCGGTTAAAGGCGCACGTTTTTCGGCTTATATCTCAGTCAATCTTTGATCAATATTCCCAAGACTCTAATCGTTCGTAGTGCTGGACGGGGCCTTTCGAACGAGCCCACCCCCGAGGTCCAACTCGCCCGGCTCCCCGAGTTATAGCCGTTCGAAATCGGGGGTCCCAGCGAACGGCGATCCGGTAGGGGGCATCCCCGAGGCCCGCCACTCTAGCGTTCGGGCAAGGGTTCCCCTGGGACCTCCTCCCCCGAATTTGAGCTCTCTGGGTCTTTGCGTTCCAGAGATACGAGCGATTTTCTTCTGAGATCGTGACGGCACCGGCGTCCGCAATTTTGCAGCGCGCCGATGGTTTTCTACTAATATCTCCGCGAAAACACCACCAAAAACTATGGAACTTATATGGTTCTTTTCAGCTCGACTAGATGGTCCCAACGAGCTTGGTGCTCGCCGAATCCGTCTAGTATTCGCCGAGATATTTGCGTAATAGACGGTATTGTCTATGAGTTCGAGCACGAGCGCTCTTGTAAAATTTGGTTGCAATCTGAAACATCACCACTAGAGGCCGCTAAAAGTTACGTAGAGCACCTTTAAATAAAATAAAAATTAATTAAATTTTTGTACATATTTTTTAGACAGCAATTTAACAGCCTGTTTGCCCTCCCTGACCTTTACTTTCATACAGCATAGCAACACCACACTCATTTTTTTTTCTTCAACTAACTGACACTTCCTTATTATTTGGATATACATTTAAATAAAAGTCTCTGAGCAGGTGCATCACTACATACTGTATGAGAAACATCTGTGGATCAAGCCATTAATACTATTAATTAATCTATAAATTCAACTAATTTTAAACCAGCATTGCCATCATATCAGATCTCAGAGAAAAGTTATGGATGCTGAGAAAGATTTTTATTTAGGTCTGTAGTAAATAATTTTTGCAAATAAATTATATTTTCTTTATTAAAACCCATAATTAAAGAAGTAATTTTACATTCTTTACCAATGGGCCTCTAAAAC